AGCAACTGATCGTCAAATTCAACTTGTAAATTTTGCTTACTGCAATTAAGTGAATTTCACGTCTGAGTTAGTCAACTCAAGAAGAAAAGGATGTTTTCCACACCCCTAAGACTGCCAGAGAGTTTTAATAAACTACCTACTTTACCATTTTTTTAAATCAAATTCTTTTATTATACTAAAAAGTTCTTACAGTTATGTACAACTTACTTTTCTTTTGTCTCTGTCAGCAAATGTTCAAGCTGTCCCAAAAGGAAAATGCAAACATGAGTGAAGTTAAGTTCCACACCCTCTAAGGGGCTATGTACATGTAACTCTACACTCTATGGACAGTACTTACTGTACAAAAAAGGCCTACAAATTCAAAATATTCAAACGAATTTAAAAATTCAGGCCTACAGTTGCAGTCCATTAGCCAGTTACTAAAATATCAGTATTTCTACTCCCTCCTTGAGTGTTAACAGTGCTAGCCCATTGCAGAGTTATTGTGCCAGTCAGAATAGTGGCAAACAGAAGAATAATTGCACAATGGACGCTCAAACTTTGTAAATATTGGATAACCTGCAAAAACACCTTTGGTTGATACAATTAAAGAGCACATTATTTATGTTGTTCCCCTACCTTCTCGTTTTCCATGTCTGCTTGTTGAATTTTCTCATCAAGCTGCTCAATGTGCTTTTCACGGGTCTCCTTTTCGAGCTGTTGTTTTAGGAGGTCATCATTCAACTGAGGGTGACCGAAAAAATTACATGAGAAAATATTCTTGGAAAATAAAAGGTAACAAACAACAAACTAACGTACATACACTACTCGCAATATTTGAAATATTAAACAGTCAGTCATAGGACATCGTCCAACCAAATTTTGGTAACTGTCCAGTTAATTTTACATTATGGTCGGACGTCATGTCCAAACACCAAAAAGGCTTTAGCTTTTTTACTTGTTATACAAAAAAAAAGTTCACAAAAAATCTGCTTGAAATCTGATACATGAAATGTGCTTTGAAAATGCACCATAATGCATTTCTTGTGCAAACATTCTCATTACTTCATGTATGATAACAGATTGAGTCATCAGTTTATTTGTGTACGTAGCTTACATACAATATTTTGTGTAGTACCAGAAAATATCCATTCCAATCCCTTTTGTTGGGGGAGTATGGATATTTTCTAGAACTCTACAATGCTAAAGTATGCGTGACCAACCAATGTTGTAAAATCGCTGGCCAAAGTAGGGAATTGAAAGGACACATGTCCTGCTAAGGAGCAATGATTATTTTGGATTCCTTACCTTTTGAATTTCACCCTCTTTAGCCTCAATCTTAGCTCTTAAGTCCAAAATCTGTTAATAAGAGAAATTAAATGTTATATGTATTAAATATGAAATGCAAAACATTATTTCATAACATGAAGTTACAGTTTGTGGAAAATGCTCACCGTGTTCTCACATCTTACAATTTCCTCACTCTTTTCCTTGGATTCAGTTGTCAATTTTTGACAATTATCTTCCATTTCTTTCACTAACACTTGAAGGTCTTGTTTTTCTTTCTGCAATGACAAAAAATTGACAGTTCGACAGTTTTCAGTGTCATGATCATTTTGTGAGATGGAAATAATAATCCACCTCAGCACATGAGTCAACAATGATATATTTAATATGTTATTTTCTCTTGTTCCGATCTCTATACCACTGGTCATCTAGACCCTCTGGCCTCTCATTAATCTTTAATCTTTAACAAGTTACTCCTAAAACAGTGTAAAAAGCTATAGTAGGAGAATTATAAACACACAAAATTAAATATTACTATTACTATAAGAGAATTGAAAACACGCGTGGCCAATAGAATGAGAAGACCATTACAGCAACAAGAACAACAACAAAATATTAATATTAATTATTATGTTGGTCACTAACCTTGAGTTTTTCCTCTCCCTTTGTGAGTTTTAGAACCATCTCACTGGCGCTTTTTAACTGTTCATCAGAAATCTGTTTCTAAAAAAATTACAGTAGCAGAGTAAAACATCTCTGTCAGTAATTCAATTCTAGATTAGCCACACGTTTTCCCTGGTACCTGTTTTCAACAATTTGTCTGTCTGGATGAACAACAAGACATAGTTATCCCTACCAAGGTTTCTTTCATGACTTTTACTTGCTTGTTCAAACTGATAAATAAGTTATAACAGCCTTTCTGTATTCTGATTGGCTGTACTGTACTTTCTATTGCATGGCATGGCAAAAAATACTATACATGAGGCCACGTTCTGTTCAAAGCAGCTTAGATACAATACCTCTTTGTAAGCAGTATTTCTCTCCATATCAGTCTTAAGTTTGTCTGCCTCCATTGATTTAACTTCCTCTTCTAAGATGCGAACCCTTGCTTCATAACTCCTCAGGACATCTAAAGGGTTCAAAATAAATGGACATATGCATGCATGGTCAACGACTGAAAGTAAAACACTTAACACTATTTTAATCAGAAAAGAAAATCTCGTTGCAGCAACTAAGCTTTCAATTGGTCCCTGTGAATGCAGTTTGTAAGCAATTGCACAAGAGCAAATGAAAAGATGAACAACAACAACTGTGGAATAAATCACAGAGCTGTAGTTCATGTATCCGAGCTACAACCAGTTTCGTCATGCTAGTGCTACCAGGAAATCATCCCCATGTTATACATGTAATGTCCCAGGGGTTCACTACAAAAGGGATTCATTGTCCTGGGATTTATCCTTGACTTGTGTGACATGCTCTTTGACTGTGTGAAACAACCTTGACAGTGTAATGGCATTCAATGGTTTATTTTCAAGATTTGCGCCAACTGACTTTAGCGGTCTAAGTTATTATATAGCTAGCTCCCTGAGCGGGCAAGATGATCTGAATCCTGCCCTGTTATTGGCTACCAGAGCAGATAAGATGGCACTATCTTGCCCACTCAGCATTACAGGTGTCTGCTGTGTCCTGCAAGAAAATAGTGTTCTTTTTTCCCTACATAGTAAATACTTTATTGACCAAGCTTGTTTGTTCAAGATCGCAGTCCTGATATTGGCCTCGTTCTTTTTTGCGTGTTTATGGACCTTGACTCTGTCTTGATCCGTAAACACGCACAAGAACAAAAAAACAAAAAAAAGAACTTGGCCAATATCCAGCCATCTTGACCCAACGAGCTTGGCCAATGTCCATGATATACATTCCTTTTTCCTTGTTAGCATTAGGTCTGAGACTTTACTGTCTAAGCTTAATGATTTTCTTTCTTCTCATCACCTGTCTGCTTGTCAATGTATTACAATTATAGTAAGGAGAATTAACACTTACCATGAGGATTAGGTCCCTGTGCACCGTGTCGCATCCTCCCAAACTGAAAATAACGCCAACAAGGAGATAAATTACTAGAAATAAATATACATATTTTTTTTAACTGTCAAAAAACAACATGGTTACTACCCTGGGGCATGAATGCAATGTGAATGTAAAATATGGTTTCAAAGTACAATTCTACCACAATTGCTACTAATTTTGCAATCTGATTGGCTAATTTGCCATTGTTGATAAGAGTCCAGTGTGTCACGTAATGCCTTTTTCAGCTCGAGCTCTGAAAAAAACATTTTCTTTGACGTTGATATTGTGGTAAAAAAAAAATCGAAATTTGGTTTAGCGTGGTCTATACTCTTGTCAACAATGATACGCATCATCACAGCAGTCAAAATTTGTCGTGGACTGCCTTGACTGCACCTCATGAGTCCACAACATTTTGACCACTGTGATGACATGTATCATTGTCGATAAGAGTACAGACCATGCTAAACCACATTTGATTTCAATTGTTAATTAGAACATTGATACATGTACTTACAGTAAGTGACCAGAAGAAATAAAGAAATCCCAGAGTACCAAACAGGAATGTTATAAACAGAACAGCGGGATGGACATCAGCAAGATCATTGCACAACTGCTCAAACATCTGAAGACAAAATAACAGCAACAATTTAATTTTGCACAAAAAATGCATGCCAAAATCATTTCACCACATTTTTTCCTGTATACATGACTGCCAAGTTTTGTTTTCCTCTGAAACTGGTTCACACCAGCAACACAATGGCATACATGTAACAACATGGGTATAACCACAAGATCAGTTACATGCGACTGTGGATTAAAGCAATTCAACAGGAATCAATATTGAAAGATGCATGCAAGGCAAAGTCCGCACCTGGCCAGGTGGTCCATATCACCAAAGATTATCCTCGACAGTTTCTGTAATACGGGACTAGAAATATTTCCTCTACCCAGTGGATGGGATGCCGGTCTATTACTGAGGTTATCCCCCTCCCCTCAGCATTAATTCTGCAAACACCTGCTATGAGAGTAACATGTCTTGCCCAAAGGGTGCACATGATGACCTTAGCCAGAGCTCAAACCAAGACAATTAGCTAATTATTAGCCGGTCACTGAATCTCCTACAGTACTGAAAGGTAGCTTACCCCATCTAATCCAATATAAGCCAACAAGTCTCTGGTCGTATTCCTTGCCACAGGCCAATAGGAGAAGACAAAAAGCACAGACTTTTCATGGAAGTTACGGAATGCCCTCATGAAGGTAGCATATCCACTGAGGGTCTCATTCACTTGAGAGTCATTATTCTCTTTGATGTTATTGAACTGAGTTTCGCCCAAGACAACCTTTGACATTAAACTGTCTTCTACTTTTTGGAACCGTGAGGCAAGTGATATCACATTTGGTTTCGCTTGACAAAAGCCTGCAAAAGTAATTATATAATGTAAGTGTTTGTCTTAAAAGAAATAAATATTGAGCGGTAAGTACTGTATGCTGAAATAATTAGAAAACTGTTGTGCATTGTTCCTCATGATGGTCAGCAGGATTAACTCATTTGTATTAATTTTCTAAAAGATTTGCCAAAAAACTTCAGACAAAATATTACAGTGCAACCACTCTAACCAAGGCCGCCCGACAAAATTTTCTACAAATTTAAGGAATAAAAATTGTGGAGGTTAACCATAGTTTTCCCACAAATAATTGATGAAATCAACCTACAGGTAAATTACAAAGGCAACAGATTTGTGGTCACTTCAACGATTAGTAACCGTCTTAAAACTTTTAAAATGCCAGTAGTCAATTTGCAAAGAATTTGCCTACAGTATGTACATGTAAGTGGCCTTGGTCAAGGAGTAGTCACACTGTAAAAAGGTAGAAACATCAAACATTGGACTGCTAAAATTTTACTTTTAATTAGTTAATGTACACTATTGTCGAACCCTTAAATCAAATAAATCAGACATTGTGTATTAAAACATTAGCTTGTATATGACACATCAAATAAATTATCCTAATGGCTTATCCTTTCTTGGCTCCCATTCCTGCAACTACATGCACTAGATGTAGTTGCAAGGTCTTTCTTTAAGACCAAAATTATCAATTACAAATAAGAGGCTGCCCATTCTAACCTTCAGTGCATGCAGCTTTATCTGAAGGGACCTTATGATCCTCTTTGCTGTCATCCACATGCTCCTTTTCCATACCATGATCAGTTGCTTCACTAGGTTTTACATCCACAGAGCTCAAGCCCTCCTTATTCAGTGCAGTTGTTGATGAAGCTGTCTCTGTTGCTGTTGTTCGTTTCGTGCGGCTACCAACTGGTTCTTTGACTTTTGTTGGCATTGCCTGCAAAGACTTGACAAGTGTGGCTTCCGTCTTAGTGTTTACTTCTTTTGCTGCCAACTCTTCATCCACAGCTGGTGCAGTGGTAGTTGTAGCAGAAGTATTCACTGTTTGCCTAGCTGCTGTTTGGAATGATGATAACAACTGTTACAATAGATGACTTTAATATTCATGTGATAAAAAAAATGAACGTCAATAGGTATATAATTTACAACACATTTTTCCTTGAGTACACTATTTGAAACAAGTACTTGCATGTGACATGTTAGCCTCACAAATCATTTGCCATCCACGTCTTTTTGATTGTGAATGTCTAACAGTTGTTTAGCTAGAGATACATGGAATCAACTATGCTTTGGTGCAAGGGTGGGGGAGGGGGGGGGGGGATAAGCAACTTTACCACACTGGTCACTTAACAGCGTTGAAAATGTACACTGTAATCTACAATTCAGTCAGCATACAGAAAACATTCAGAATGTTCAGCACTTTCTGCTTTAAAGCCTTGTAAAGTGGTGTAATGAAGCAAAATACTTAGATATCTGTCACTTTGTATGGTTGGCCTTGTCAATATTTTTATAGCTCTCAGTACTTTCAATATGACCCAGCACCTGCCAAAGTTCCGGTGAGTATTCTGTTACAAATAACCATCTACTGTATAATGTACCCAGTTTTCAAAATTTGGCCCTGTAACTTTAGGACATTGTCATGAGCCTGTCTGTTGCTCTCTGACAAAAGTTGCACAAGAGTGGAATTTGAAGTAGGTGGCACCACCCACTTCATATGATACTGAAAGCACTGGGCTCTTCCATTATCAACCTTGTAATACTGAGCTTAAAATTCCATGTACAGGATTTCAGCTAAGTTTTAAAGACCATGCATCAATAACAAATTCCTAATGGTCAATCAATAGATGCACAGATAATTCCTAAAAAAATCAATTTAGGAAAAGGTCAAAACATCAAGAATAGAATTCCTAGAATTGTTCCAATTTTTACCCTACAGTGCTAGTGTAACTGAAAACGTACACCACACCCTGACACCTTGCCCCCACTCTCACTACAAGGAGGGTCAAGGTTCAATCACGTTCCAAAAAAACTGTGTTTTCCCTAAATTACTCTTTAGAACTTCTGCATGTGTTCGAATCATGAAAAGTACATTGTATGCGGCTCACAAATCAATGTAGCTGGTTTTTTAGCCGGCAGTGGTCTCTTAAAACCTTGTTCAACATTCTTTATGTACCAACCTTGATCTTGCGAAGTTTTGACTTGCTTAGAAGATGGTGAAACAGCTGTTGCTGCCTTGCTGAGTTCACTTTCAGCACTATGCTTGGTAGACATTTTTTCCTCCTGTTCTTTTTGTTGTCTTTCTTTTTTGCTGACTCGATATTCCTCAGCCATCTTTTCAAAATTCCTTCTCTCCTCATTTAACATTTCCAGTCTCCTTTTCAATGCAGCTTCTTCCTCAGCCATCTTTTGGTCAAAGGCACCTTTGATTTTCATATGTTCCTCATCTTCGCCGTCTTCGCTAGTTTTTCCCTTCTCCTGAGTTGGGTTTTCTTTTTCCTGATCTATCCCTTCGTCCCCTGGCACCTTGTCATCAACCTCTTCCTCTTTTCTTTCAGCACCACTTAGTTTTTTCAAAGAAATTTCTTTCTCCTCCTCCCTACGCAACCTTTCCATCTCCATCTTCTCAGTTTCTTCTATCTGTTGCCGTTGCTTTTTCAGTGACTCAAGTCTCAGTTGTCTCGCTTCCTCCTCTTTCCGTTTTTTCTCTTCTTCTGCAGCCTTTTTTTCTTTCTCCAGCCTGACTTTCCTTGCCTGCGCTGCAATTGCTTTCTTCTTCTCTTCTGAAATCCTTTTTTCTTTCTCCAACATGAGCTTTCTTGTCTGCTCTTCAATTGCTTTCTTCTTCTCTTCCGCATCTCTTTTTTCATTCTCCAACCTCAGATTTCTCGACTGCTCTTCCAATACTTTCTTCTTCTCCTGTGCATCCCTTTTTGCCTTCTCTAGGCTGAATTTCCTTGCCTGCTCTTCCATTCTTTCTTTGGCTTCTTGTTCCCCTGCCTCCTCTTTTTTATTTTTTTTGAGATCTTGTACTTCCTCCTGCAGTACATCTGATGGAACTTGTTCTTGAGGTTTGCTTTTAACTCGCAGATGCTCCAAGTCTTCATCTGACAGCTCTTTTGCACCGTCCTCATAGTGAGGCTGTTTCTTATCAAACGGCGTCCCTCCTGAGCTGTCTGCACTCCTTGGCTCCTCCTGCTCAGGGTCTTGCTTTCCCCTGTTAACACCAGCACTGTCAATTTCTGCCTCCTTCTCGGCAGGGTTTTCTTTAACCGAAGGTTCGGTTTTTGATTCCTCAGCATTTACTGAATTCACAATTAAATCTTCCTCAAACTGCATCTTTTTACTGTTTGATTGTTCTTTCTCCTGGTGGCTCTCAATTTCTTTATCGTCAGTTTGTTTAACTGAGGATTCATACTTTGTATTTACTGCTGAGTCTTGCTCAGACTGCACCCTATCAAGGTCTTTTGATCCCTCCTCCAGTCTGCTGTCAATTTCTACATCTGGTTCACCAGTATGTGCATCTGGAAGTTCAGGGTTTTTATTTTCGGCATTTGCCAAATCTAAGGTGGATGAATATGGCAGAGACACTGAAACATTACCCTCCTTAATAGCATTGGGCAATGGTTGGTCCTCCCCTTTTTCTTGATCAGCGTCACTCTCAGTAGCACCACCAAAATAGGTTTCTTCCTCTGCAGTTCGTGCAGAATTTACATTCTCTGTAACTGACTTTTCAAATCGAGGGGGTGCAAAATTAGGCTTATTGTCTTCACCATTGCTTGTTTCATAAATTGCATCCTCTGGATCATCATCTCCCAACTCATCTTCTACAGATGGATTTTCAGGTTCTCTATCTTCTGACAGAAAATCCTGTTCGTCCTCTTCATAAAGAGGCGCAGCTAACTCAGAAAACACTTGTGAAAAAAATCCCGGACTTCCCTTGCTTTCTGATGTTTCTGAAGACGGGGCCTGCAAAAAATAATGCAATTATATCTACTGTACTCTTTTAAAGGATATTTAAAAGTTACTAAGTTTCTTAAGATATTTACTATATTCAAGATGCCTCATTGAGTATCCTCTTTATCCAATTGCATGTTGTTTGCTTGACCTTTGAAGTTCTGTTCACAAAGATTCGGGGGTTTTTCCACATCTGAGGTTTTGTCTTAGCATCATAGCTTGTTGTTTATTATAGTATTTATGGCTCATTTGTGTGAGCGCTCGCATGAGCTTTC